TTCGGCAAGCCTCCTCGCCACCCATCTTTAAAACCCGCCTCAAAACTCACTTGTATTCTTTGGCATTTGACTCAGCATGACTCAGATTTGTTCTTGGTTTTGCTGTTCGGTGCTTTCTACCGTCTTTGTTACTGATTTGTTGCTTTACTGTTGTATATGTTAGTTGCTCCATGCACTTTGTGTGCAGCGATGGCTGTTTGAAAGTGCTCTATAAATACAGTTGAGTGCAAGTTCTGTTATTAAAGCACGAGTCAGGTCTGATTTTTGAACTCCCGTTTTTGTTATTAAACTTTTTATCGATTTTTTTTTGGGCAGAAAGAAGAAAAAAAAAACATGGTAACATGTTTAACTAAATACATGGAGCTTCATCAGTTCCGGGCATCAAAACAGAACATACATCAAGTAAACGCCCCGGTAAAACGGGTTACAATTCCTGCACTTCCACATATACAATGTCTTGAACATTTATGTGTCATTATGTAACAACTATTTTTTTAAACATTAAACAACTCCTATTTGTGCTCATGTGTACAGCTATTAGACTGTATTGGAGAATGCTACAAGAGTCAGTGTTTAACAATCACCCAGAATCCAATTGGTGAAGGTTGAGCTGGCCGTGTTTTCAGCACACATCGTCCTTAAAGATAGGACGATGTGTAGGACAATTTTCCTATTTTTTTTTTCCATTCAAATTTGGTAGGCTAACAGCACCCTTCTCTGTAGTATGTCAAATTTATGTCATTTTTACCCTATTCACAGGCCGTTAGATGACTATTAGTGGTAAGTTTCTCTGACGGGTTTAATTGTAATTAGTGTCTGTGCATATACAGGTACTTCTAAGATGTTGCAGGATACTGAGCTATCAAGGAGAAAAAAAAGCCCCACCTGTGAGAGAAGAAAAATTTGAATGTGATAATTCAGGAAAAAGATACAAACCAAAAGTCGGGCTGCAAAATATATGGCAAGAATATTGTCAAAACAATCATGGTACATGTACATCAGGGGTGCCCAAACTTTTTGACCGAAGATCTACTTTTCGATCAACCAACCTCCCGCGATCGACCCTTTACTGCGCGCAGTCCACACGCATGCCATGATGAGTAATTGCCTGACGCTCAGGCACACGACGTACTTTTGCAGCCTGTTAACGATCGTAGCTCATGCGTACCATTTTAAAAGGCTTCTCTCGGCCCTCCAGATTTCCATACTTTGCCTGTACCCTCTGTGAATTGTACAAAACAAATTCTGAATGAGAATAATGATAACGATAAAATATATAGCGCAACAATTCGGATCACAAGCTGCAACTGCAGACTGCTGAGCGCTAACAACTTCTGGTGACACAGTCAAACGTCACCGTAGGTTAACGATGACCTGCTTTATTTTATTTTCTTTTTAAAATGCTTTTTGTGAAAGTGAGACTGATAGAATGATTAGGGTGCAGTGTGCATTAACACAAAAAATATATTACTAACATGCACAGAGACCAGAGATGAAAGTGGACTTTTCTGAAAATTCCGGAATAAATAAATCTATCTATATATATCTATATATATCTATATATATATATATATATATATATATCGCACTTGGCCGATCACGCATAAATTAGTTTACACAAAACGCTATTCAAATACTCGACATTCAATGATTAATCTTCCTTTTGTGTGCACACGTGTACCCTTTGTGGCTTTTGACTGAAGATCTACTTTTCGATCAACCAACCTTCCGCGATCGACCCGTTACCGCGCGCACGTACACACGCATGCCATGATGAGCAATAGCCTGACGCTGAGGCATGTGACACACTTTTGCAGCCTGTTAACGATCGTACCTCACGCGTACCATTTTAAAATGCTTCTCTCGGCCCTCCAGATTCCCATTGTTTGCCTGTCCCCTCGGTGAATTGTACAAAACAGACTTTGAATGAGAATTTGCTCTGGAGCAAATTTTTAAACCACCTCCCTGAGGTGGATCAAATTTGGTCCGGTATAAGCTCTTTAGTGGAGCTACGCCGGAGCAAATGTGCACGTGTGAATGCTCGACTGGATTTATTT